TTGTTGTACTTCGTTCAGTTGTATTACTTGCGAGAGAGATTTAGGAGTAATGATAAGTAGGAACCTTAAGCCAAGTAAACAATGTGTTTTTGCTCGTAACAAGGCTAATAAAGTACTTGGGTTCATACAAAGGAGTGTTAGTTACAAGACTAGCGAGGTCATCCTAAAACTGTATCTTGCTCTTGTGAGACCACACCTGGATTACGCAGTTCAGTTCTGGTCACCGTATTACAGAATGGATATAGAATCCTTGGAAAGAATTCAGAGGAGAATGACAAGACTAATCCCGGGCATTAGGAACCTTGAGTATAGAGACAGGTTAAAGCATCTTAATTTGCACTCCCTCGAGAGACGTAGAGCGAGGGGCGACCTGATAGAGGTGTATAAGTGGAAGGCAGGGCTAAACAAAGGGGACATTACAAAGGTACTCAAATTATCCAACCAGGAGCGAACTCGTAACAATGGTTTTAAATTAGACAAATTTAGATTTAGGCGTGAAATAGGTAAACACTGGTTTGGAAACAGAGTAGTGGATGAATGGAACAAGTTACCAAATATCATCATTAACTCTAATACGCTGAATTGCTTCAAACATAGGTTGGATGCTCATATGAGCAATAGGGGTTGGGTGTAAACGGGACTGCCCAGTATGGGCCAATAGGCCCGCTGCAGTTTCCTCCATTCTTATGTTCTCATTCATCCTGACGTTCACCTCAAGGTTCTCATTCATCCTGACGTTCACCTCATCATTCTCATTCATCCTGACGTTCACCTCATCATTCTCATTTATCCCTGGAGGAATCTGTCACCGGACTGAGGAGCACTGGTGTAGATGGTAGTATAAATGATAGATAATGGCGATCTGTGGCGTAATGGTTAGCACGCTCGCCTCGCAAGCGAGTAGACCCGGGTTCGATCCCCGGATAGGGTGAATCTATGGGCAAGTAATTGGGAACCTGGATGTTAATAGATTTGCGGATAGTGTTCCGGGGTAATGGTTAGCCAGTCCAGTAGGCGCGTTGTCCGGTCTTCTCGGACTTTTCCTTGACACTGGGTCATGCACCTCGTTAACTCAGGGTGTGGCTGTTGTGTTGGCGACAGCTTCTACACCTTAAACAAATTCACGCCTAGGTGGCCCATGGGCTGGCCATCCTTGTTACACGAGGGGCAACCATTATTATTATTATTATTATAGTTGATAGAGTATAGTCACTGACACAGGCTATTGGTTATCCCTCAAAAGGTTGTTGAGTATAACAGGATGAAACAGGAATTTGTTACTTTATAAATAAAAAGACAATAGTACTTTTGACGTATTGTACTGTATTGTTTTTCACAGATTTACCTTTGATGACAAACATCAAATAAAAATTCAAAGTCATGAAATACAATGGGCGTATTGTGTTATTATTGTACGTTTCTTCTTTGAGACAGATTTCCTCAGTGACTAATGTTAAACTCTTAAAGTTGTCAAATACACTTGATTACTGTTCACACTTGTGGTTTGATGTCATGCGTGATTGATAATTTTGATACTACATGAGATACAGTATTGAAGAAATGTTCTTGACTGCAGTACTAGGCCCGGGGATCGAACCCGGGTCTACCAGCTTGCGAGGCGAACGTGCTAACAATTACGCTACAGGTCGGCATTATCTATAAATTATACTACCATCTACACCAATGCTCATCAGTCCGGTGACAGATTCCTCCAGGGATGATAGAGAATGATGAGGTGAATGGTAGGATGAATGAGAATGATGGGGTGAACGTCAGGATGAATGAGAATGATGAGGTGAACGTCAGGATGAATGAGAATGATGAGGTGAACGTCAGGATGAATGAGAATGATCAGGTGAACGTCAGGATGAATGAGAATGATCATGTGAACGTCAGGATGAATGAGAATGATCATGTGAACGTCAGGATGAATGAGAATGATCAGGTGAACGTCAGGATGAATGAGAATGGCGAGAATGTATGGTAGAAAGCAAATTATATAAATCGTGTTCCAACTATATCCATGGTCAGGTGACTGGCTTTAGGTGATCATTCAATACAAGAGAATGGTATAGACTCCCAAAATCATCAAGACAAAGAGGAATGTCTGAAGGTGTAGGCTCTCAACATTTCCAACATTCACCGTCGGAATATATACCTTCCAGTCCAGACCACAGAATACTTAAACTACAGTATTAAATATCAATTCAGATCTTCATGAAGCCATATTTGTAGTTACTTTTCTGCAGATGCGCGGGACACTATTAGTCAGATCCAGAGAAACACACACGACACGAACCTTCTTAAAGTGATTTTGTTACCTTATGAACCACTACAACATATCAATTCGGTCAAATGTCATGTTGAAACATCAGGAATTTCAACTCCTCACCGTGATGGACGAGGAGACACGTACACGAGCTTGGCCGTAGTTTAATTGGTAAAAGTGCATCAATGTCAACCCCGTCAGGAAGAAGCATCTTCCTCTCCGTAAAATTTGCAAACTAAAAACAAATTTCTACTCATGACAGATAAGTTTTTTGATAGTTAATGAAATCGCTGAAGAAAACCACTACAGTATTCCTAGTTAAACAAGTTAATTAAAATGACAGCAAAGTTGTATTAGTAGTATTGTATGCGTATTACTGCGCTACAATAACTAATGTCCTGAGGCACGTACTCCAAGGAGGTCAAAACAGAGGATGGATAGCTAGATAGATAGGTAATTTTAATGGCCACGAGAATGTGCAAATTACACATAGATACAATCATATACGACATTAAATAAAAATTGTGTAAGCATTATGGTCCACAAAGAATATAAATCAAAACCAGAACATTTAAACGAAAAATAAAATCACAGACAATGTGTGTTTTTGGAAATGATTACAACGGAAGAAAGTTTTATAATACCAGACACACATAAATGAAATACTGTACATACAATTACAGGCATGAAATGTGTACGCTTAAGCATCTATAAAAGACGAATACGGAAAAATGGACAAAAACTTATAAATTGCTTCACATACAGACTTTGAGCTATATGTAGTAGACAGCAGCTGTTCCATCGATGCAGAATTGGAACTACGGCGCGCACACCAGGTCACGGGGCAGGACTCCACCGCGTACAGTTCAGTTTGTGACCCACCACCCACTCACACGAAACTGTCTAAAATAAATTCTATGCAACTCATCTATATTCATTTTCTTGGTGTATATATTTTCATGTACAAGAAAGTCAAAGGTTCGTCGATTGATACACAACAGAGTAATTTTAGTCTATAATAACTAAAACTATACGAGTATATATAAGCGGGTTTTATTCAATTATTCCTACATATTATCAACAAATATGTCCCCTATCTTGTTATTTACTCCCCATCTGTCATCCTTGTATACTTTCCTTATTTATTTTCAGCGTATCTTTAATATATAAATTTATACGTGGTGTGGAGCGATGGACAAGTGGTTAACAGTTACGGAACAATTTACATCTGTTTCGCTTTAGGAGAGTCTTCTGTGACGCTGTAGCCGATTGTTTCCATCTGGTCAGGGTTAAGGTTAGGTTACGGTTGTCAGGATATATTTACTGTAAGTCAAGGTCAAGTTGTTTTTAAAATTGAGGTTAATTTATAGGTGTAGTGGCCGGGTGGATACAGGATGGACTGTTAAGATTTTTAAACCATTTTCATTTTTCAAGTTAAGGTTAAATTAGGTTTACGTAAGGTTGAGTTCGCTTAGGTTTGTGGCGAGAAGGTTGAGAGTCGAGAGGAACTGTAAGGATGGCGACCCAAAGACACGAAATAAATAACAAATCACTGGATATATACAAACATACAGTATAAGAATAGGCTTGGCGGGTTTTTCATTAGATTTCCCAAACATCACCACCTGTAAACGGAAGCACTAGATAAGCATGTTTTCCCCATGACATACTGGAAAACGTACCTCAATGGGTTTCGTTTTGTAAATGAAAGGAAATATTGCCAAATCTCACAGAATAATGGAAAAACCAAGCTCAGCCCGGGTCCAGTGGGCAAGTTTGTGACGTATTGGTGACGCAGTTAAAGCCGTCCATATGAATGTCTCTAAACCACCCTGTGAGTATGTTGCTATTTTATACATGCTATTATAAACTCTAGGACTCCATCTTGATTAAAAAAAAATATCATTATGTAGTTATAGGTTTCTGATAAATAATAATAAAAGTACGAGTATGGGGTAACCCTGGTAAACATCCCCATGACGTCACAATTTTCTAGTGACGTCGAACACTTTCATTCCTAGTGGCAGGTTTTAGGTTGATTGCTGCATATGACGTCCATTGAGTGGTTTAGGTTAAAGGAATAAGGTACATATGGAGTACATAAAAAGGAAATCCGTTTAAATTTATGCAGAAAATGTTTTATTTAAGCGACGTAGAGGGTTTTTGAGCACCAACCTCTAGAACAACACTGACCTCTAGAACAACACCGGCCTCTAGAACAACACCGGCCTCTAGAACAACACCGGCCTCTAGAACAACACCGGCCTCTAGAACAACACTGACCTCCTAGAACAACACCGGCCTCTAGAACAACACTGACCTCTAGAACAACACCGACCTCTAGAACAACACCGGCCTCTAGAACAACACTTGGCATCTAGAACAACACCGGCATCTAGAACAACACCGGCCTCTAGAACAACACCGGCCTCTAGAACAACACCGGCATCTAGAACAACCTGACCTCTAGAACAACACCGGCCTCTAGAACAACACCGGCCTCTAGAACAACACCGGCCTCTAGAACAACACCGGCATCTAGAACAACACCGGCCTCTAGAACAACACCGACCTCTAGAACAACACTGACCTCTAGAACAACACCGGCCTCTAGAACAACACTGACCTCTAGAACAACACTGACCTCTAGAACAACACCGGCCTCTAAACAACACTGACCTCTAGAACAACACACCGGCCTCTAGAACAACACCGGCATCTAGAAAAGACAACATTTAAAATTATCTGAATCGTTAACAATTTGTCACAGAGAGATACAAGCGAAGACTGACTTGACCTGGAGATATCACGCTCTGCACTCCCCACACACAGTCCTCTATATGCTAATGCGTCTCGGAACTTCTTTGGATTTGCCCACTAACGCCTGAGTCATAAATTGCAGTAACACAGATGGGGATATTCACCCTTTGTGGTTTGACGTCATCTGGTGCCCTGTTTTATGTCTTGTGTCGACTGTTAGCTCCTCTATAGTCAAGATGGCCCAACTTTACTTTCTCACGCTAGTTTGAGCTCTAACTCTACGCACGGTCTATTATATACAGTAATGGATTTCATGTGTGATTATTTCTTCCGTGAAAAAATATTTGGTACACGTGAAAGGTCATCTTGTACCTGGAAGAAAATATTTCAATTAATGAGAAACAGATGTTGTACGTGAGATATATCAGGAATTTAAGACTCCAGAAATCTCTGAAGGAAAAAAACTACATCTTAAAAAAAAATAACATATACATACTGTAGGTACATAGTACAGGAAATCCCCCTAAAAGCGAGAGTGACGTGTGTGCCAGAAGCACGATACTTCCCAGTCCCCACCTGAGCTGAGCACGGTGAGGACCTGTACATCAGTCGGCTCTCCGGCACCCGAGACGTGTGTTCTGTGCCTTCGTCTCTCTCGTTCTGCCCTCAATGGACACTTCGATTATACCGAAAAAACAGAGTTGCGTTTATTTTTACGGTGACAGTGACTAAACAACACAACTCTGCAACTGTATACCCATCGCACTAGTGATAATACAGTACAAGTATTTACAAAAGACATCCTGTAATTAATCTTGGTTGCATAAATCCTCTTCATCTCAGTTCGAAGTGAAAATACCGGAAATTAAATAATACTTGATATTACACTGTCGAATAACTTCTCACCAAAGAAGAGAAACTCGACGATGTATGTTAAACTATACGCAGTAATACTAGTACTATGTTCATGGTCGTCGCCCGCACGGACCGCAAACTTCGAGCTGACAATCCTTCACTTGAACGACTTCCACGCCAGGTTCGAGGAGACCAATGTTTACTCCGGCAGGTGTTCTGACGGCGACAGGCAGAAGAACAGGTGCTATGGAGGCATTGCAAGGTGAGGCAGCTTGGATAAATAGTGAATTTTTTAGGTATTTTAAGGGTTATTGAGTAAGTGATGATTTTTTGGAGGTATGTTAAGGGTTAATGTATAACTGGTGATTTTTGGAGGTATTGCGAGGTAGAGTAATCTGGATTAAATAGTGATTACGTTTTCCCCAGCCGAGACTTACTGGTTAAATGGAACATTTTTAAAAGATTCCAAGTTAACAATTAAAGGATGAACGGTAGAGGCTGTGCAGGGTATACAGTACGGGTTGTACCTCTCTAGTCCGGCATTCTGTGGTCCGGAACGATTTTAGTTTGTCCAATAGGTAGATAGGCATTTTTTTTAACTTATCTGAATTATTATTATTATTATTACAGGAGTATTAAATTTTTGCTCCTCAGGCCCCAATGTGGCTCAGTGACCTATGCCCCGGTGGGCTAATCCTTAAAAAAACAGCCGCGGGAAATTAAGGTTTGTTTACATCCGGCAGTTCGGCTGCTCTCTCTCTCTCTCTGCTTGTCTATACAGAGTACAACATTTAACCCTTCAATATATGAGCAGTAAATAAGTGTTGCTTTCATATTCTTATGTAGAGTAATGACGATATGTTTTCACATGTGCGCACTTACATACGCGTAGTCTCACTTTTTTTACCATTAATGGTTAGCTACTTATATTGTTCCATTTATTAACATTAAATAACATTACAGGTACTTCAAACAACCATATTAATTTTTTACATGTGATGAATGGTGTTGAAACATAGGAAAATAAATTTTATATGAAAATTCATTTTTATTTATATAATATGCTCTACATGACTACCATTCTGTTGAAAACATTCTTCAATGCGTGTCCTCCACTGCTGAAGAACACGTTCAAGCACAGCTGGAGTTATGCTTGTAATGGCGTTGGTGATACGTTGTATGGAAACCTATGGGACACCCTGTATAAGCCATTCTCTCTATCCCTCTCACCATTACGTCACACAGGAGTAAACTAACACCAAATACTGACTACCATGACGTCATCAGCATAAACAACAACAAAAGCCGTGACTCCAGCAAAAGGTCAGCTCATAGGGGGAGATGTTTGTTGACCCACATCCTATATCCCACGATGCTAGGGGGAGATATTTGCTGAACCACATCCTATATCCCACGATGCTAGGGGGAGATGTTTGCTGAACCATCTATATCCCACGATGCTAGGGGAGATGTTGCTGACCACATCTATTCCACGATGCTGGGGAGATATTTGCTGACCCAATCCTATATCCCACGATGCTAGAGATGTTTGCTGACCCACTCCTATATCCCACGATGCTGGGAGATGTTTGTGACCCACATCTATATCCCGATGCTGGGGAGATGTTTGCTGAACCACACCTATATCCCACGATGCTGGGGAGATGTTTGCTGAACCACATCCTATATCCCACGATGCTGGGGAGATGTTTGCTGAACCACATCCTATATCCCGATGCTAGGGAGATGTTTGCTGAACAATCCTTATCCACGATGCTGGGAGATATTTGCTGAACCATCTCCAGTCTAGGGGAGATGTTTGCTGAACCACATCCTATATCCCACGATGCTAGGGGGAGATGTTTGCTGAACCACATCCTATATCCCACGATGGTATTTACCGAAAAAGGAGTATAAATAATGATAATAATGGCATAACAACGAAAAATAATAATAATGACAAAAAAACGATAAATGATGATGACAAAAACGACAAATGATGAAAGTGATGACAACGATAAATGGTGATAATAACAAAAATAACGATAAATTATGATACTGACAAAACGATATAATTAAGAAAAAATAGTCAATTCCTCGAACAGATCACTATCAACCGTCTAAAATCTAGATTATTGTATTAAAAACGTATATAATTATAATGACCATTGATTAAGAAAGTTAGAAAGGGTGCAACAATTATAATCTACAAAAAGATAAAAGAAACGAGAAATACGATCACGACAGGACAAGCCACGCGCAAAGTAGTTCGTGTGAAGGTTGAAGATTCACTTTGTATTCTGTTGCAAGTTGATGATGCTGTGAGGTTGTAAATGTGTGAGTTTTTCTTGTTGTTGATTTAGTTCTCTTCTGTCACCTTTTATTCACCTATCCTTTACCCCTCTCCTTCCTCGTCATTCTCCTTCCCCTTTTCCTATTTCTCCCACTCGTCCTTCTCCCCCTCATCTTTCTCCCTCTCCTCCCCGTATTTCTCCTATCTCCCTCCTCCTCCCCGTCCTCCTTCTCCCTCTCCTACCCGTCCTTTCTCCTTCTACCCCTCCTCCCGTCTTTTCCCACCTGCTCCTTCCCCCCCCTCCTAATCCTCCTTCCTCTTCTCCCCTCCTCCATATCCTCTTTCCTCTTCTCACCCTCCTCGTACTCTCCTTCTTCCTTCGTTTCCCACCTCCTTCCCCCTCCTCTTCCTCCCTGTCCTCCTACTTCCTCTTCTCCCCCTCCTCCCATACCCTTCTCCCCTCTTCCTACTCTCCCTCCCTTTATCTTGAGATTTCTGGGAGAAGCGTAAAGATAGAGATAAAAATTGAGCGCTTCTGTTCTTCATAATGGAAGAAATATTTAAATCATGATTCTTACGTAGGTCATTGTATCTTATGTAATTGTACTGCTCTTTATGAATAAGCCTACCGTTACCAGTATATTTTTTGTAATATTTTTACCCATTCAATTTCAATTTCAATTGTTTATTCCTTGATAGAGGAAGCTGGATCCTAGTGCTGTCACTAGGTACCCCTGTACAATGACACCAGAAGCATCTGGCAAGTGTGACAAGTATATACTAAAGCCTAAGGAAGGAAGGATATGGTCAGAGACTTATAAATAATAATGTTCTAGAATACATTAACTATCTTTTCGTCTATTTTAATGTGTTTTACCAAATCTTGTATCTGTCTGTCCATACGAGTGTCTAAACCCCGTGTCCGTCCAGTCAGACCTCACCACCCATCATCTCAGTCACGTCTGCTTGTGTGTGTCGGCAGGTTGAGCTCGGCGGTGAGACTGGAGCGCGAGAAGAGCCCCAACGTACTCTATCTCTCAGCTGGCGACTACTTCCAGGGCACTATCTGGTACACAGTCCACAAGTGGCGCGTGATGGCTCATATGCTGAACCTCGTCCCCCACGACGCTATGGTAAGTCAGACTATTATACCGTGTTAGTGATGTTAGTACCATGTTAAAAGAATGACTATTATGTTAATGATGAATAAAACAAAGTGGAGTCAGCCCCTCACCAGACACTGTAGCCTCACCAAGCGACCACTGAGTCGAGGTTTCTAGATAATTGTCACAGGTACACGAGGAAGGTTAGTGCGGTGGCGGGGTTTCCCTTGTTTATCCCTGAGCACAACACTTCAGTTATCCCAGTTGACGGTTCCAGCCCTCCATCACCATTCCCATCCCTTCCTCCCCCTCACATTCCCACCTTCCACCATTCCCATGCTCCCCTCCATCATTCCCCACCCTCTTCTCCCTATTCCTACAGCCCTCTTCCTTCCTCCACCATTCACATTCTTCCTCCTCTCAGTATAAAGACAAATTTATGTGTGTGGGGAGACTGAAGGCTGAGACTGAAACATCGCGACACAAGTTACAGGAGATGCGTCAGATTTCATCCCCGTAACTCTGGGTACTTTGTGAGCATTTCGGATTAAGGGATTACAGTCGTGTTAGCGTGCTGGCGTAGTGATAAGAGTAACTATTGAGTAGAGATGCCGTGTTTCCGCCTCTTAATAACACCTACTATAACAGTGGATTATGATGACCTCATAATTACATTACCTCCTCTTTGTTAGACTTCCGGCCTGCGTCAAATTTGGGTGTCAGAAGGTCGAATATTGTTCTTTCAACCTTGCTAGTCAGGCCGACACACGGAAGTTTAGTGTGTATTAATTCAATTGTGTTCTTTTTGTATTACTGAACATGAATAATCAATTCCTATATGTTTTTATCTTTATATTCAACAATAAGATCTCATTCCTAAAGTTTGGTTGGCTTGTTTCACTTGCTTCGCTGTTTTTGTGATTGATTTATTGCGACGCTTCGATCTTCCTTATCTGCAAGTGCTAGGAAAAGTGTTATTCACAGATTTCTTTTTTATATGTTAAAAAGCATGAGCCAGTCTTCTTGCCTTACAACCTTCCCATAAGTTTTCGTATCGCCCGCAAACTTTATTATGTGGCTCAATATGTCACCAGTATTGTTATAATGTTGATCACAAACAGGATATATCATTGTAGCGCTTCACTGAGAATCTTTGCTGCTTGTATGTGAGCCATTGTTAAACAATTTATATAATGAAACAGGCTGGAGTGAAATTTATCCGATGGGTAGATTTTTATAATGAATTTGTTTCTTAATCTGATTCTCGTGAACCAATCATGTAATACGTCTCATGAATATGGGAAATATGACCGTAGACCGTGACGGCCTCTGGACTAAGGAACAGTAACGCTTCGCCTGCCAGGATTATAAACAACTTTTAAAAATGCCTTTATCATCGATGGATCAATGTTGGGAATGGGCAGTCGTCGTGCCCTTAGGAGAATGTCACGGTGGTCAAGTGGTGAAGAAAGCTTGTAGGAGGGAAAAGTGAAATCAGTAGGAATAACAAGAGGGAGAGGCTGTGAATCCCAGTTCGGAGAAAAAATTGACTCTGGGAAAATTTTGCATCGCGGAGGATTACAACACAGCCCCGAGAATGTTGACCAAGTCCAATATTGACCAACATTCACAATGATTTTTACAAAGCCATTTTACGTGAAGTCTAAAATAAATCATTATTTTTTCGTTATAAACAGTGTATTAAGAGTCTAAAAACTGTTCTTGCAAATAAAAACAAAACCATAATCATAACATATTGGTTTGTTTGCTTGTGTGATTAAAGTCGGTGGTGCATTTCTCTATAACTCTTGTGAAGTATTATTGTTTGTGGCCATTTTTAGTAATAAAAGTGTTAACCGAATGATTACACAACACGAGCTGAACAATATCCCTCACTTAACAATGGTCCATTTACACCACGTAGTGTGTGGACAGTCTCTTTATTTAACAGACAAAAAACAGAAAAAAAGATCCCACAATAGTTATTCTTGGTAGAGTGTGTTGTAGGTGTTGTGTTGTAAGTGTTGTGTTGTAGGTGTTGTGTTGTAAGTGTTGTGTTGTAGGTGTTGTGTTGTAGGTGTTGTGTTGTAGGTGTTGTGTTGTAGGTGTTGTGTTGTAGGTGTTGTGTTGTAGGTGTTGTGTTGTAGGTGTTGTGTTGTAGGTGTTGTGTTGTAGGTGTTGTGTTGTGTGTTGTGTTGTAGGTGTTGTGTTGTAGGTGTTGTGTTGTAAGTGTTGTGTTGTAGGTGTTGTGTTGTAGGTGTTGTGTTGTAGGTGTTGTGTTGTAGGTGTTGTGTGGTGGTGTTGTGTGTAGGTGTTGTGTTGTAGGGTGTTGTGTTGTAGGTGTTGTGTTGTAGTGTTGTGTTGGTAGGTGTTGTGTTGTAGGTGTTGTGTTGTAGGTGTTGTGTTGTGTTGTAGGTGTTGTGTTGTAGGGTGTGTGTAGTAAGTGTTGTGTTGTAAGTGTTGTGTTGTAGGTGTTGTTGTAGGTGTTGTGTTGTAGGTGTTGTGTTGTAAGTGTTGTGTTGTAAGTGTTGTGTTGTAAGGTTGTGTTGTTGTAGGTGTTGTGGTGTAGGTGTTGTGTTGTAGGTGTTGTGTTGTAAGTGTTGTGTTGTAAGTGTTGTGTTGTAGGTGTTGTGTTGTAGGTGTTGTGTTGTAGGTGTTGTGTTGTAGGTGTTGTGTTGTAGGTGTTGTGTTGTAAGTGTTGTGTTGTAGGTGTTGTGTTGTAGGTGCGTCAACTGCTAGGGTATTCAAGAGTCATTCACAAGCTCTTGGTTTTAACAAGACATCTTTTTTTAATGTTCAAAATAACCAATATTATTATATCTACTTAAATTATTCTAAAATATTGTATGTTATATATTTACACTGAAACTCACGTCTTGCTTTATCTAAATAAATAATAATGGTTGCCCCTCGTGTTACGAGGATGGCCAGTCCTTGGGTCACCTAGGCGTGAATTTGTTTAAGGTGTGTTGACGTTGTCGCCAACACAATAATCACACCCTAAGTTAATGAGCTGCATGACCCAGTGTCAAGGAATACTTCCAGAAGACCGGACAACTCGCCAACTGCACTGGCTAAACATTAACACGGAACGCGATCCGCAAATCGATTAACATACAGGTCCCCAATTGCTGCTGCGTAGAGAGGCAAATGGCTTAAAGAAACTTGCCTATAGTTTTACCGTGTCCTGGGATCGAACCTGGTCCACTCACTTGCAAGACGAGCCTGCTGACCATTACACCACAGGTCGCTTGTCTGTGCCAATGTCATACGCTGTTTACCATCAGAGTACGGCCAGCACAGTATAACCTCCTCACACATACAGTATAGTCTAATTCTGTATTGTTTCAGTAGGGGGAAACTTTGTAGACATCACGATCGCTTAAGTAGGTTATGTATATATTTCTACTTAGTATTTGGTCAAGTTAGGTGTGCGGATAATTTACCTGTCATTTTGTTTTGTTTTACCTAATGGTCGCCTAACCTAATGTGGCCACAATACTTTAAGCTACCGCAATAATCAATAAGTAAGAGTTTCAGGTATAACATGGCGGTAAAACACACGCTCCAGGAACAAACGTCAGGGCTTTGTGTCAGCAAGGAAAACTCAGTCATAGAAAACGGAAGCTATTAAATGAGACAGCAAGCAGTAGGAGCGATAAACACACTCTCCTCTCCTGTTGTTTCACGAGATGTTATCAGGTAGTTTGTCCCCTCCTGGATCTTTATCGTATGGAAACCAGAGGAGGAGAACCTTGGCTTCCTCCTGATGTGTTGTTCATGTAAAAATGACCCTCCCACCCAACCTATCGACCTTGCCTTCCACAACCCGTCTTAGTTTTTCTGTCCGCTCGAAAACCTCTTATTCTTTGGCATGAGATCTGATACATTGGGGCGATATTGCATTAGTAGTTGACTCCCCCCTTCCAAAGTTCAACAACAGTAATAACAAGCGTCGCCACCTTTATCCATCAGTTTTAAAATGATCTCTGAGTGGCCCGTTATCGTACACCCCATAAAGGCATTGCACAATAACGATTTATTTCATATAATACTTATGACCCTCTGATAACAATATGATAGCGACGTACAGTACTTACCTAATAAAACTTGTATTATAGTGTACCACAACGACTCATTTTACCTCGAAGTATTTATTTTATAATCCGTATTATATAAATGTAATTTTTTCCTTAAGTTCTTCACCGCAGTTACGTCACGTGGAGCGACATACCCGTAATAGCATTTAGAGCGTGATGACGTGATTTATAAATTATACTAAAAGTAGAATACATATAACGGGAAATAGACGATCTTTGAGGTCACTTAAGAGCTTCCAAGGTGTTGACTGCGTACTGGAAGAACCTCATAATTGGGGTACTCATAAATGGCAAGCAAGGTTCCTTTAAGAGCAGAAGTTTGTTTTACTCCCATTGAAATTTAAGATGAAATAACATGTTCTATCTCATAAAATGGCGATATTAATGTTATAATGTACTACGCTTCAGCTAAGATCTTTCAGTGTGTAGTCTAGCCACTAGTCTAGACTACGTAGTCCAGTCACTAGACTACGCATGCACGAGAGCATGCACTCATCAACATTAAATATCTCTCTCTCTCTCTATATATATATATATATATATATATATATATATATATATATATATGTGTGTGTGTGTGTGTATTATACCTAGATATATATTTTTTTTCTCTTCACAAGTTCTTAGTCATCGTTTGATCTGTCAACTCCACTGCACTGTTAATTTTATTTGATCGTGTTCGCATTTCTTTTAATACAGTCCTTTAAAAGTGAAGTGCCAAATGAAGAGCATGAATTGGCATCAGACGTGTGTGCATCCCAAGGTTGTCGCGGCGGACAATAGGTCCATTTTTTCTTTTGAAATTAAAAAAGAAAAGAAAAAAGAACACATTATATATATATATATATATATATATATATATATATATATATATATATATATATATATATATAAACGCATCACTACAGATATAATGACAGACTAACCCAT